GATCTCAGCTGCATGCCCCAAGTCCGCTGCACTGGTCCCTCAGGATCTGGGAGACCAACTTCCATTATCCTTCGTTTGAGGTCGCTCTTCTCTGCTTGGTGCAACTTCCACCACCGGATTCTCCTCTCGGTTCTTACCCTTGTCTTCTTGGGGAGGTCTATGGCAATGTCTGCCAGGAGGGGCCTGTGCTGGGAGCCAGTTCTTCGCCAGGGAGTACCTTGATATCCTTCACAGTTCTGAGGGATGATCTTCTTACCAGCACATGGTCGATTTCCGTTTGTCTCCCTCCACTGCTGTAGGTACCTTCTGAGTCTCCCTTTTCGCGAAGAACGTGCTGCAGATTGCCAGATCGTGGGCGTAGCCAGGTCCAGGACCCCTCTCCCTCGGCGTTCACTCCTATTCCTCTACCTCCGTGCACCCTTTCCAGGCCTCTTCTGTCACTGCCGACGTGACCATTCAGATCACCTGCTATGGTCAGGTAATCGCCTTCCGGGATCGATCTGATGGCTTCGTCAAGGCTGAGGTAGAACTCGTCCTTCTCGCTCTCGGGAGGGCGTACATGGACAGTACCGACCAGTACCTCCTTCCTGTCCATTCTTATGGCCATGATCCTGATCGCTAATACATAGTCCTTGAGCGACTCCGCTACCGCTATGGCCACACCGTTCCGCTTGGTGTCTTCTCCATTGTAGTAGAGTTTGACACCTTCCCCGATTTCCCTGGCCTTAGCACCTTTCCATCGCGTCTCCTGAAGGCATAGGACTTGGATATTCCTGCGCGTCATCAGATCAGCAACCTCTCGGGACTTCCCAGTTAGCGATCCTACGTTCAGAGTCCCAATTCGAACTAGCTTCTTTGGCCGAGGCCGTTCACTCCTCGGTAGCCCTCGCATACTGACCACAGAACTCGGGCGGGGGTTCTGCGCGCCACTTCCGGGTGACGTCCTAGCTTTATCACTGATTCTTTGACGACTTTTAGACATGTTTGGTGTGACTGGGGTCTTCATCAGCCGGCCTGTCAACCTGGGCCTGACGCTGGTACTAGAACCATTTTTGCAATTTTTGCAAGGCATGGTTTTAAGCCTCGGCAGGGATCGAACTCGCGGTTTTCAGAGGTGCAGACATGAGTCTAACCTCTTAACCACTCGGCTATCCCTGTCCCCACTGGTAGCCTGATATATTTTGTTTTCTCCACCATATCAGTGAACAAATATCTCCCAACTCACCTGGATTCAAACGATTTCAATGTGAATGACCATTTAAATGGGTTATTGTAGCCAAGTTCATGAATGCACAGTTCATGAGCGACACTAGCAAAGGATGAGTCCGACAAAGAGAGCTCAGCAGTCAACAGACCGTAATTAAGCGATTTATCCCCACAGGCAGGTGAATGGAGATGCAAACAAGCCTCGCCTCGATTGCAGTTGCATAAGTTGCCCACCTCTTCCCCTTAGCGTAGAGCGAAAGGGCTCGTACTTCCTGCGTTTTTCATGATTTTTTTTTCTCCTTATGCACTCCACGCTCCATAACTAAAGTCATAGTTGAGTGGGATTACCGCATCAGTTTAATCATGATTCTTGCCTTTAACGTGCTCAGCAAATTCACTCGGCACAGATAGCGATCAGCACATCCCAAATGAAGAGGACGATGCTTAAAGTTACCGGGCGTTCGTAAATGCAAAGAGGAATCCGAGTTCCAACGTTCGTCAGCAAGACGTTACCGTTTCCGCCGAAAATTCATAAATCGGGTGAGCCGGACACATACCCTCCCCTTCAAAAAGCGAGAAAGTGTCGGGTGCAGACCAAACACCACAACTGACGACGGCCTCCAAGTAAATCTGGTTAGTAGTGGTTCATAGTGATAGCTGATTTTTGGTAAATGATAGTTGTAATTAGTGACAACTGATAGAATACAACTGCAACAGGCTAATCATTTCATTGGCAGAAAACATTTACATTTTGTGGAGGCCGTCGTCACTTGTGGTGTATGGTCTGCACCCGACACTTTCTCGCTTTTTGAAGGGGAGGGTAATGCGATTTTGTAATACCGTTACCTTTACCGACTGGACCTTCTGGACGTCAAATGGACGCTAGGGAGACTATCCGCGGGCCGGATTTTTTCACGAAAACTCTGAACAGAAGGAACGAAAGACTTCATTTCCCTCGAGCAACGAGTATGCACTGAGCTGCTGTATAACACGACAACATGACGGACTGTGGACGCCGGCGACGGCAAAAAAAACACAGGCGATATCGATTTTTCTCGCGACCGTCACCGTCGTTGTGGCGTAGTGCTTATAGGTCTCCAGAAAATGATTACATACTAGACATCTCCGTTAGAGCGCTCTAGGCCTTTATCTGATTTAATGCTGAGGGGACTCCCAACAGTAACAGAGGCACTGAAGAAAAGCGAATTCTACTCAAGAAATGACGACCCTGACAAGAACTTCGCCAAATCGCGCTGTGTCATAAGATCGAACTTTTTGCTCCTCTGCGTCTCCTTTATAAGAAAAAGCATCAGACACTAATACTCAACTCCGTCTACACGAAATCTGGCTCACGCACGCGCGCGCAAGTCACGCTCCATTGCACCGAAGAAATTTGGGCAATACGGTAAATGGTCAGTGTACGCAATTGCACCGGCGGACGGCGGTAGTTTTACTCTAGTCCACAAGTGCATTCCTCACTAGTATTACTAATCAGCACCCACGCACCGTAGGAATTCTGGTAACAATACTCCAGTGTTCTGTTCTATCACTTGAAGTGCTATTTTTTGAAAGGGACTAATTTTCCAGCGCGGACGTAGTGATAAGTCTAACTGGTGCTTTTGTATCTTTCTTGTTCAAACTTTATGATTATATACCGTTAATTGTTATGATTATCGACGTAATGTTAGTTCTATTTATTGTTTTTCTGTGAAGAGTTACTGCGAAAAAATCCACATAAATAAAAATAAACAAATAAGTAATTTCGCTCGGCAGATTGAGCGCTACAAATAGTGTTGTCTGAGTGGTTTGTTTTGCTATTATGCGTTGGGCTGAAAATTCTAAGAAAACTCGCTATTAATCATAAGCGATATAGGCCGGTGAACAGAAGAGCGTTATTCCGTGAGAGTGAAGCGGACTCATGTTCAGGATTTTCTCTATGCAATCCGGGGTTTTCGGACAGCTCGCTGATCCGTAAAGACCTATGAATAGGAATTCGGCATTTTTTTAGGTATTTTTAATCAGGGCTCAGTTTTAAATTTCAGTTCGCATGTTCATAGATATTTGAATGCAACAGTACTGGTCTGAAAGCTTCCAGAGTAATTGAAAAGAAGTTGCAAGGGACACTGGAAAATAGCAAGTCAAGATCATAATTTTTCACTTAAGTTTGTGGGGTATAGTAATTACCTTGAATGAAAACCTCTAATTTCGCCAAACAAGGCATTGCCAAACAATGGCAGGGTAATATGGCATTTTGTGGTGGAAGTTGTTGTTAGAGTTCAACTTCGACATTGTTAGGTTGGAAGGAGTGTTCATCTTCAAATATGCGCGTATACGGCGCTATGTGCCTCGGGGGGGGGGGGGCAGTCACCGCGCGCGGCTGTGCGGCAACAGGAAATTCGAACATTCCAGCTTCTCACGCATGTCATGTGACTGCCCTCACCCCCAACCCCCCTGAATTGGCTACACTCCCCCTGGCTCACGAATTTCCTGTTGCCGCACGCCGCGCGCGGCGACTGCCCCCCCCCCGAGGCACATTGCGCCCGCGTATACTAATTGCAGTCATTGTGTCTCGAGTGGAAACTCCTGCATTTAGTTTTGGCCTCAATTTTAACACAACTTTTGGTAGTTCCACCTTCAATTTTCCTCCTTGATTGGTATAATTGCATGTCGCGGCGCCAGATGCTGAACATCTGCTTTGTTGGTGTGGTGACCTTTCAACTGCGATGTCCACCTTGTAATGAGTACCATTCACTGAACCCAGATCAGATTAAAAAGTGAAAATGTTCTCTAATAAGTTTATGTTAGATGGAATGGCTTGCAGTTCTGGTGTCTTAAGCAAAAGAACGAGCTGTCTGTCCCTGATTATTTCCTTCGCAATGAATCTCGGACTTGACTAATTCTTCGTTCACAAGAGGGTTGGATTTTATTTGAAACAAGGAATTATATCCCGCAAGCATCAGCAACGACAACAACACAGCCTTCGAGGGCGCGTTCATAGTCTGTTGTGAGAAAGTAGCAATCGCACAGCACTAGGTACGTATCGATCGTCAATCTTCCGACACCTACGACGATCGATACGTATCTAATCCTGTGCTATCGTTACGATCTTACAACCGACTATAAATGCGCCTTTATGTTGCTAGACGACTCAACTTTACAGCATTTTAATTTGCCTGATAGTGATAAAAGGATAAAGGATAAAGCATTTGCCGTTGATCAATCCCTTTTGGGATGCGGCACGCATTCTACTTCCATTTGTACATTCGTAGTGGCGTTTGAATGCGATGTGGCCTATACAATGACTTGCGGGGCCAGCCGATGTACAAGTCAGTGTTTTTATCCTCCCAGACAAGTCTGGTACCAATTAACCGACCCCGGAGGGATGGAAGGCTTGGTTGGCCCGGGCGACTCACGACCCAGGATTTGATCCCGGACCGCTCGCGTGGTAAGCGCGCCACTTGCCACTACACCACTTCCGCCCTGATAGTGATAGTTTGATAATTTTTCACAGGTTCTTCCTCATTTCAACTGGTCTCCTCCCTCATACTACACACAGTTACGAATACACAACAATAAGAAACAATCTCCTCTCCAGGAGTCTTAAATAAAACGGCCCTCTGCGTTGACTTTGGTGGAGAATTTTACGTAAAGAAATTATGTGATTTATGAGTTGTTTTCTGTAATGTGGGCTCTTTATGTTGACGACTTTGTGTGCTCCGCCGTTGGAATAACGTTGATTCTTCTCTGAGTAATTGGAACGTTTTCAGAATTATGTGTTACCGCGACTCTTGACCATGAACACACTAACTTCATTACTAGGAAGGATCCATGGAATGATGCAGGGATCTGCGGTGAGACATCTTTTATTCAGAAATTTTCACTGCTTTGAATCGCGCGATAGGTATCAACTTGGTTGCTCAGTCTATAGGTGCGCATGTGTTGTACATGTGTACAGCAATCGGCCTTTCTGTATCCGTCTGTAAGATAACCATTAGTGTATCAAGGGGCCGTATGCGCCGCACCTTTGATTTTGCTGCTTTATTTCCATTCTTTCGTCGCTGCTTTTGGTGTAAAGGAAGGTGTTTACCACGAATATACAATCAGAAATAGTACAAGGATGGAAACAAAGCTGCAAAACCAAGGCCCAGCGGGTCCTGTGACGAACAAGTAGTAATCAGATCAACTGCTGAGGAGTTAAAGTAAATTTAAGTCAATCTAGCCAAAGTGGTGGCGTGGTTGTAATTAAACCCTACTCTACAGTATAAGAGTTGCTCATATGCATCCGCTATAGAAGTTGTTGGCAAGCGTATTCAGGTAAAAGGTAATGTTGGCCGTTGCCGCAGGACCCCTTCTGTACGGTTCGATCTGTGTACTTACTGAGTTCGATGCCGAGAACGATGTTCAACAAATCAGGGAACGTAAGGAAATAGCTTTCTTGGGGAAACTCCATTTAAAGGCGGACGAAGTGAAAGCGAGCCTTTGTGTGCAAACACAGTAGAAATACCACGGGCATTAAGTCGTAGAAGTTACATGGGATGTGCCCGTGTTTTTTTTTGCTGCTAAGCATTGTTACATCGAAACGCTCTCAAAACCCTGGAGTAGGCGGCGGATCTCTCTTCTTATTGCAAGTTCAGGTTCCGTTGTAGGGAGCAGTTTGCACTATACGATGCTCGTCTTCGCAGAGCGAGATAGTGTAACCTCGAATATTCCAATCTTTCATGAATACCAAAGACTCATCCTACCCTGGCACCTCCCCCTCCCACTTAAGCACTTAAGCCTACATTCCCCTGGTCCACTCATTCGTTGTTCTGCACAATTTTACCGTTGTTTCGCTGAAGATGCAGATAACAGGTAAGCTGCTCTGTCGTTCCCCTCTCATTTTTCCATAACACCAAATTGCGAATGTGTTGCCGTATGAAGTCGGGACTTTTAAACTTATGTCTGTAACATTACCGCTATTTCTATCTTTGACTTTAGGTGCGGTACATCCATAACAATGAATTTTTCACCTCTGCGACATCGTCGTTACTACTAAGCAGCCGAGTATGTTTACAGTTTATTCAATCCATCGATAAGTTTTTGTCAAGCGGTTTCATATCGGAAATTATCTGATGAGCATCAACTTTCTTGACCGCAGTACAAGGGAACTTCGTGGTTCATTAGGTTATTTAGCTTACTGTAGTCCCATTTTCGGCAGGAGGGGAAGCTCCAGAATTGTGTGAAAGCCAAAGTGAAATAGTTCACGTAATACTAAGCTTCTCTTGCCAAAACTGGGATATCTGTAGGAAGGCCGAACTACTCCTTCAAAGCTGCCCTTCCCCCTCTTTCGTCTTGCGGATGTGAAGTATGCTCTTGCTGATGTCTTTTCGTGTTTATAAACAATGCACTTTGTTTGAACGCCACTTATAGTGGGGCGATTGGCATAAACATGAGTCGAAACTACAAAAAAGTTGTCACGGCGCGTGCCACATGCGCATTCACGGATAGCGCGCGAATTTCACGTTTTGGGACAAGGCTCTTCTTCTTTTGACCTACTAGACTACTTTTGCTTCTAGACAGATGTCGTGTGGAATTTTAATTTTTGTCAACAGACAGCTGTGTTCAGGAATGGTAATACATTCTGTTTCCCGTAATTACCCTTAGGTTGTATCCAGCCATGCTTCGGCGCTTCGTTTCAGGCTACGCCGAAAGAATCAGAAACAGATGATGCAATGAGGGAAATAAGACGGCTCATTACAATTTGTCATTTCTAGCTCATAGAGTATAAGGATAAAACATTCGGCAAAATCAATCCCATTTTGATATTCGCCACGCATTTTTTCAATCTGGAATCGTAATGGTAATTCGAAGGCAATTTTCTTATGCAATCACTTTCGAGGATCAGGCGATTTGAAAGGCAGTGCTTCTGTCCGCATAGGCAAGTGGTACCACTCTACCTACCCCGTAAGGATGGAAGGCCTATGTGGACGACGTACAATCCAGGATTTGGTTTCCGGATCGCGCGCGGGGTAAGCAACACCACTTGCCACTGCGCCATTTCCACCCTTTTCAAACTCGTAGTAAGGATTCAATCATGTCACTCTTTTAAATTTGACCAGATGTATTTGTCAGAATTGTCTCTGAGGGCACAATTTTAGAACATAATTTGTGATTTTTGTTTCGCTTCACAAGATGAACGTAGACACTATCCGTTTGCATCCCCACAACGACAAATTCTTCTATGTATTCGCTATTACTAGCCAAAATGAAGGGCAGCGGGCAAGGGCACTATTAATAAGTTCTCGTATCAGTCCCTAATGCTTTGCCCAAAGAGCAGACCACAGAGACAAGCGCAAGCGGTTACTAGGCAGGTGTCAAAATTTCCGATCCGGGACCGCTATTAGGGTGTGTTCATTTTTACCGCCGTCTAGTTCAAGTGCGGTGTATACTTATAAATCGTGCGATCGCCTCACCGATACGCACTTGTTCCACACTTGAACTGTAATCGAAGTGCAAGGCAGTTGCAAAGTGTGACCACATACTTAGAGACGGCGTAACGCAAGTAACATGACCAACTTTGGTCAGTTGCAGCGTCGTAACCGTCGATTCGCCTTTACAGAGTTGGAACGGAAATGAATGGGTACAGGAAAGTGGGAATACACTCTGCGGTTCTGCTTTTCCCAATTTTCTTTACAAAAACAATCGAGTGTTTCACCTACATACTCGAAGTGTCTGAAGTCTGAGACACACAGCTTGTTTACGTTTAAAAAAATACTAGAGCAAAAGCCATAAAAAGGAGAGGCCAAAATTCTGGTCTGTAGCGGCTGAGCTGCACCCGACCATCGGGCATTGAAGTATCCACTCGCACTTACTAGGCTGACTCGTTCAACCCGTTCATAGGTTCAGCGACCAATTTTTCGTACCTTGTCCGTTACTTCCGATTCATCGGCAACTGTCTTCAAAGGAACCATGAATTTTGCTTCAGTACCCGCAGGCTCCTTTGCGGATCCTCTTCAATCAACTGAGGTATCTATTATACTTCAATTCGATCATTATTCATTGTCACGTGAAGAGCGCCTCCCGTGATTTTTCAAGTCATCGCTCTGTGGTGGTATGGGTAACATGACCTAGCCTAAGCGTTCCATAATTGCTTCTTTCACCCTGTGGCTGAAACGAAGCTACCGCTCCATAACAAGTGAAATATCCTCAGGCAGTTTATTCAAGTCCGAAATGACGCGATGTTATGAGGGCCTCCCGATGCCAAAAATTATAGCTTCTGGCAGCGTACAAGCGCCGACTTGCAACTTCGAAGAAGGGTACCAAAACTTCCTGCATACTCGATGAAAGTGTACCTGTTTGTCAAGTACCGCTGCAGTTCCTAGAGTTCAACGACTTTTTATGCTCTTACCCATCACATATGGTGGTAGCCGTTGTTGCCTGCTTGGGAAGAATGGCATGTTTTCGAAGTGTACAACGTCATTAAAATGTTTGTATTATCGTGCTGTCTTGTGATATTCTTAACGATTTTTCAATGACTTGCTCGATTGCCCTCTCTAGTGATCACGTTTCTAGTCTGGAAGTAATATCCTTTAAACATTGTTTAAGGATCGTCAAGTGCTATGCAAGACTTTCAAATTAATGGACGATGTTGTTAAAGCATGCCACAACCATCGGTTGAACTTGAAAAATTCTCCACCGTTCATTTTGGATATTTTGCCCGATATTTATACACAGGTATTACCACTCGGCGAGCTACCATTTTGGTTATTGACAGTTTCGAAAGTTTCGTGTTGCAGATTGTCTACATATTTACTCGGAATAATTATATTCTCAGGGACAACTATTATATGCAAATATTTTTAGAAAATGTGCAGCAGAAGTGCAAGCAGGTACGTTGTGTATGTGTTTGTTGACTTTATAACGGCATATTTTCCCAAATATATTTTCCCAAATATATTTTTCCCTCAACGACACATAACATATGAAATCTGTCGGATAGGGGCGTTGCTGGCCTTTAAAGCGGGAAAGTGCAGAAGGAGTGCGGTATTTACTCGTATTCGCTTCCCCTCTTCCAAGGTGGCGGTAATATTCCGTCTCGTATCAGTAGTTGCTGCAAGTGCGGTGCTGGCGCTGCCTCAAATGTTCTTCAAGATTCTCTGGATTTTTTCCATTGTCGACCAGTGTGAATAGCGGACGAGGAAATCCTCGGCGATGGCTCTGTACTGTGTGAGAAAAGTGTCAAAAGTGAAATGTACGCGCGTAGAGCACAGACGAAAGCGTGTGGCCAGAGTGAGTGTAGGCGCGGAAGAGTGTGACTGAGCAAGCGTATATCCTCGGCGGATCCTTGACTTATTCTCATTCAGGATCGGGATCAGGTACAGCAAGCCCCGCCGGGCATAGATCTCCAAAACTCGGCGTCTCTGTTCTGATCGATGACCGTCCTCATAATCATGAGTAGGGGCCTGTCAACATTTTGCCATGGGTATTCCAATCAGTAATGCTGGTTGCAAAGTAGAGCGGTCATTGCTTTCTCAGAGTTCATAATAGTAGAATAGCGCGAATAAAGATGGTAAAGATTACCTCACTCAAAACAGAGTTATGACTGATCTCTATTTCCGCTGCTTTCAAAAAGTTGTGATTATATTTCGTGAACTTGAGTCAACTAACAGTATCAGGAGAACGTTACGTGAGGAACAATTGTGAGAAAAACTAGTGTTCTGAATAATTTCGTTTATTCTGCCATTCCGTGCTATCAAAAAGTTGGCTGGAATTTGCACATTTGCGCAATGACATGGTTGAGTTGTGTGCCCTTTTGGAAGATGTAAGAAGTTTTAAGCGCTTTGCGTGACAACTTATCTGCGCTCACGTTGGGGGAGGGGGAGACATTTAACTGAGTGACCCACCTAAAGTGTTTGGGACTATGCCTAAGGGTCGGGAAGGGATTTAGGGTGAGGGCAATTTTCGTTTTTTATAACGTTTCCCCACTCGTTTTGCCTAATGGTGACTTGGAGAAATTCCCAAGCAGTGGTTCTGTTTCTCAAGGAGGGGATCGAATTGAAGCCATGCGAGAACGCCAGTGACACAAAGGACGCATTTGGACGGCCTAAAGTGAGCAGCATGTTTCCATCAACCTCAGTACCACATAAATCACATTCAGTAAACAGTGACATAATGAAAAAAGACAAAAATGTTGCAGTGATCGCTGGTCACTATTTCTGGGCGTACCACGCAGGTTGTATTTGAGGTGCGACGGTTGCATATTTTGTGACATAGTGACATGCACGGTCCATGTTGTCCAAGCAGGTGCTTTCATCAATGCAACTGAGCCGTTTATCAATTGACCGGCTCACATGTGATGGAAAGCTTGACGGGCAGGCCTTGACCATTTGCCACTGTTCAACTCCTCTTCTATAGAAAATATGAGGAAAATAATAAGTTGGGGTGGTGATGGAATGAGCTACAAAGTAAAGAGAAAAAGGTTCGGCTGTTGACTGCTGGTAAGTTTCTGTTTCAAGGGGGATTGCTGATGAGGACGAGGGTCCAAGGAGGGGAAACATACTTGGTCAGAAGGCAGTCGGGCAGGTCTCCTACAATTGGCGTTTCGAAGCGAAGAGAATGGCTCCAGCGGCAGAACATGGTCGTGCTCGCGCCGCTCGCGCCTCTGCACACCCAACGATGGGTGACTCATTGCCGTGTGAGTAGCCGCTTAGCATAGAGTGCGTTAGCGTCCGGTAGGGCAGTGACGATGAAAGTCACATCACAGCGGAAGTCAACGGGCAAGAAGAGCGTCTTATTTTCTGTTTCTTGGCCGTTTTCATGGTTTTTTTTTTCAACCACGCTTCTTTGACCACCTCTACCTTGTCTCATGGGTTGCCTTTTCACAGCA